TTGAGACACAAGGACACAAGGTTGAGACACAAGGTTGAGACACAAGGTTGAGACACAAGGACACAAGGTTGAGACACAAGGTTGAGACACAAGGACACAAGGTTGAGACACAAGGACACAAGGTTGAGACACAAGGAGACACAAGGTTGACAAGGTTGAGACACAAGGTTGAGACACAAGGTTGAGACACAAGGTTGAGACACAAGGTTGAGACACAAGGACACAAGGTTGAGACACAAGGTTGAGACACAAGGACACAAGGTTGAGACACAAGGTTGAGACACAAGGTTGAGACACAAGGTTGAGACACAAGGTTGAGACACACAAGGTTGAGACACAAGGTTGAGACACAAGGTTGAGACACAGGACACAAGGTTGAGACACAAGGTTGAGACACAAGGTTGAGACACAAGGTTGAGACACAAGGACACAAGGTTGAGACACAAGGTTGAGACACAAGGTTGAGACACAAGGTTGAGACACAAGGTTGAGACACAAGGTTGAGACACAAGGACACAAGGTTGAGACACAAGGTTGAGACACAAGGACACAAGGTTGAGACACAAGGACACAAGGTTGAGACACAAGGTTGAGACACAAGGACACAAGGTTGAGACACAAGGTTGAGACACAAGGTTGAGACACAAGGACACAAGGTTGAGACACAAGGTTGAGACACAAGGTTGAGACACAAGGTTGAGACACAAGGTTGAGACACAAGGTTGAGACACAAGGTTGAGACACAAGGTTGAGACACAAGGTTGAGACACAAGGTTGAGACACAAGGACACAAGGTTGAGACACAAGGTTGAGACACAAGGTTGAGACACAAGGACACAAGGTTGAGACACAAGGACACAAGGTTGAGACACAAGGTTGAGACACAAGGTTGAGACACAAGGACACAAGGTTGAGACACAAGGTTGAGACACAAGGTTGAGACACAAGGAGACACAAGGTTGAGACACAAGGTTGAGACACAAGGACACAAGGTTGAGACACAAGGTTGAGACACAAGGAGACACAAGGTTGAGACACAAGGACACAAGGTTGAGACACAAGGTTGAGACACAAGGTTGAGACACAAGGTTGAGACACAAGGACACAAGGTTGAGACACAAGGTTGAGACACAAGGACACAAGGTTGAGACACAAGGACACAAGGTTGAGACACAAGGTTGAGACACAAGGACACAAGGTTGAGACACAAGGACACAAGGTTGAGACACAAGGACACAAGGTTGAGACACAAGGTTGAGACACAAGGTTGAGACACAAGGACACAAGGTTGAGACACAAGGTTGAGACACAAGGACACAAGGTTGAGACACAAGGTTGAGACACAAGGACACAAGGTTGAGACACAATGACACAAGGTTGAGACAAGGACACAAGGTTGAGACACAAGGTTGAGACACAAGGTTGAGACACAAGGTTGAGACACAAGGTTGAGACACAACACAAGGTTGAGACACAAGGTTGAGACACAAGGTTGAGACACAAGGACACAAGGTTGAGACACAAGGTTGAGACACAAGGACACAAGGTTGAGACACAAGGTTGAGACACAAGGACACAAGGTTGAGACACAAGGACACAAGGTTGAGACACAAGGTTGAGACACAAGGTTGAGACACAAGGTTGAGACACAAGGTTGAGACACAAGGTTGAGACACAAGGACACAAGGTTGAGACACAAGGACACAAGGTTGAGACACAAGGTTGAGACACAAGGACACAAGGTTGAGACACAAGGTTGAGACACAAGGAGACACAAGGTTGAGACACAAGGTTGAGACACAAGGTTGAGACACAAGGACACAAGGTTGAGACACAAGGACACAAGGTTGAGACACAAGGACACAAGGTTGACACAAGGTTGAGACACAGGACACAAGGTTGAGACACAAGGACACAAGGTTGAGACACAAGGTTGAGACACAAGGACACAAGGTTGAGACACAAGGACACAAGGTTGAGACACAAGGACACAAGGTTGAGACACAAGGTTGAGACACAAGGACACAAGGTTGAGACAAGGTTGAGACACAAGGACACAAGGTTGAGACACAAGGTTGAGACACAAGGACACAAGGTTGAGACACAAGGACACAAGGTTGAGACACAAGGTTGAGACACAAGGTTGAGACACAAGGACACAAGATTGAGACACAAGGTTGAGACACAAGGACACAAGGTTGAGACACAAGGACACAAGGACACAAGGTTGAGACACAAGGACACAAGGTTGAGACACAAGGACACAAGGTTGAGACACAAGGACACAAGGTTGAGACACAAGGGTTGAGACACAAGGACACAAGGTTGAGACACAAGGAGACACAAGGTTGAGACACAAGGTTGAGACACAAGGACACAAGGTTGAGACACAAGGTTGAGACACAAGGTTGAGACACAAGGTTGAGACACAAGGACACAAGGTTGAGACACAAGGTTGAGACACAAGGACACAAGGTTGAGACACAAGGTTGAGACACAAGGACACAAGGTTGAGACAAGGACACAAGGTTGAGACACAAGGAGACACAAGGACACAAGGTTGAGACACAAGGTTGAGACACAAGGTTGAGACACAAGGTTGAGACACAAGGACACAAGGTTGAGACACAAGGTTGAGACACAAGGTTGAGACACAAGGACACAAGGTTGAGACACAAGGACACAAGGTTGAGACACAAGGACACAAGGTTGAGACACAAGGTTGAGACACAAGGACACAAGGTTGAGACACAAGGACACAAGGTTGAGACACAAGGTTGAGACACAAGGACACAAGGTTGAGACACAAGGTTGAGACACAAGGACACAAGGTTGAGACACAAGCACAAGGTTGAGACACAAGGACACAAGGTTGAGACACAAGGACACAAGGTTGAGACACACAAGGTTGAGACACAAGGACACAAGGACAAGGTTGACACAAGGTTGAGACACAAGGACACAAGGTTGAGACACAAGGACACAAGGTTGAGACACAAGGACACAAGGTTGAGACACAAGGACACAAGGTTGAGACACAAGGACACAAGGTTGAGACACAAGGACACAAGGTTGAGACACAAGGACGCAAGGTTGAGACACAAGGACACATTTAGGGCTACAAATGCACCAATATTTAGAGGTTAACGGACTGGTCCTGCACACCGCCCTACACCCTCTCATGTCCTGTGTACCCGGCCCAGTGTGGGCCGGGTGGGTGTACAGGACTCTGAACACAGTGTGGGCCGGGTGGGTGTACAGGACTCTGAACACAGTGTGGGCCGGGTGGGTGTACAGGACTCTGAACACTGTGTGGGCCGGGTGGGTGTACAGGACTCTGAACACTGTGTGGGCCGGGTGGGTGTACAGGACTCTGAACACAGTGTGGGCTGGGTGGGTGTACAGGACTCTGAACACAGTGTGGGCCGGGTGGGTGTACAGGACTCTGAACACAGTGTGGGCCGGGTGGGTGTACAGGACTCTGAACACAGTGTGGGCCGGGTGGGTGTACAGGACTCTGAACACGGTGTGGGCCGGGTGGGTGTACAGGACTCTGAACACAGTGTGGGCCGGGTGGGTGTACAGGACTCTGAACACTGTGTGGGCCGGGTGGGTGTACAGGACTCTGAACACTGTGTGGGCCGGGTGGGTGTACAGGACTCTGAACACAGTGTGGGCCGGGTGGGTGTACAGGACTCTGAACACAGTGTGGGCCGGGTGGGTGTACAGGACTCTGAACACAGTGTGGGCTGGGTGGGTGTACAGGACTCTGAACACTGTGTGGGCCGGGTGGGTGTACAGGACTCTGAACACAGTGTGGGCCGGGTGGGTGTACAGGACTCTGAACACTGTGTGGGCCGGGTGGGTGTACAGGACTCTGAACACAGTGTGGGCCGGGTGGGTGTACAGGACTCTGAACACAGAGTGGGCCGGGTGGGTGTACAGGACTCTGAACACAGAGTGGGCCGCGAGGGTGTACAGCACTCTGAACACTGTGTGGGCCGGGAGGGTGTACAGGACTCTGAACACAGTGTGGGCCGGGTGGGTGTACAGGACTCTGAACACAGTGTGGGCCGGGTGGGTGTACAGGACTCTGAACACAGTGTGGGCCGGGTGGGTGTACAGGACTCTGAACACAGTGTGGGCCGGGTGGGTGTACAGGACTCTGAACACAGTGTGGGCCGGGTGGGTGTACAGGACTCTGAACACTGTGTGGGCCGGGTGGGTGTACAGGACTCTGAACACAGTGTGGGCCGGGTGGGTGTACAGGACTCTGAACACTGTGTGGGCCGGGTGGGTGTACAGGACTCTGAACACAGTGTGGGCCGGGTGGGTGTACAGGACTCTGAACACAGAGCGGAAGTCACGGTGTCAACACAGTGAATTTCATTCATGAGTTACAAGAAAAGTTACAGATAAGAAGTTGGTTCCTGCGCTGAGTCACACCAGGGGTGGCACTGTCATGCGTCACACCAGGGGTGGCACTGTCATGCGTTACACCAGGGGTGGCACTGTCATGCGTTACACCATGGGTGGCCTTGTCATGTGTCGCACCAGGGGTGGCACTGTCATGCGTCACACCAGGGGTGGCACTGTCATGCGTCACACCAGGGGTGGCACTGTCATGCGTCACACCAGGGGTGGCACTGTCATGCGTCTCGCCATGGGTGGCACTGTCATGCGTCACGCCAGGGGTGGCACTGTCATGCGTCACACCAGGGGTGGCACTGTCATGCGTCACGCCAGGGGTGGCACTGTCATGCGTCACACCAGGGGTGGCACTGTCATGCGTCACACCAGGGGTGGCACTGTCATGAGTCACGCCAGGGGTGGCACTGTCATGCTTCACACCAGGGGTGGCACTGCCATGCGTCACACCAGGGGTGGCACTGCCATGCGTCACACCAGGGGTGGCACTGTCATGCGTCACACCAGGGGTGGCACTGTCATGCGTCGCACCAGGGGTGGCACTGTCATGCGTCACGCCATGGGTGGCACTGTCATGCGTCACGCCAGGGGTGGCAGTCATGCGTCACACCACGGGTGACACTGTCATGCGTCACGCCAGGGGTGGCACTGTCATGCGTCACGCCAGGGGTGGCACTGTCATGCGTCACGCCAGGGGTATCTCTGTCATGCGTCACGATAGGGGTGGCACTGTCATGCATCACCCCAGGGGTGGCACTGTCATGCGTCACGCCAGGGGTGGCACTGTCATGCGTTACACCAGGGGCGGCACTGTCATGCGTCACACCACGGGTGGCACTGTCATGCGTCACACCAGGGGTGGCATTGTCATGCGTCACGCCAGGGGTGGCACTGTCATGCGTCACGCCAGGGGTGGCACTGTCATGCGTCACGCCAGGGGTGGCACTGTCATGCGTCACACCAGGGGTGGCACTGTCATGCGTCACGCCAGGGGTGGCACTGTCATACGTCACACCAGGGGTGGCACTCTCATGCGTCACACCAGGGGTGGCACTGTCATGAGTCACGCCAGGGGTGGCACTGTCATGCTTCACACCAGGGGTGGCACTGTCATGCGTCACACCAGGGGTGGCACTGCCATGCGTCACACCAGGGGTGGCACTGTCATGCGTCACACCAGGGGTGGCACTGTCATGCGTCGCACCAGGGGTGGCACTGTCATGCGTCACGCCATGGGTGGCACTGTCATGCGTCACGCCAGGGGTGGCACTGTCATGCGTCACACCACGGGTGACACTGTCATGCGTCACGCCAGGGGTGGCACTGTCATGCGTCACGCCAGGGGTGGCACTGTCATGCGTCACGCCAGGGGTATGTCTGTCATGCGTCACGATAGGGGTGGCACTGTCATGCATCACGCCAGGGGTGGCACTGTCATGCGTCACGCCAGGGGTGGCACTGTCATGCGTTACACCAGGGGTGGCACTGTCATGCGTCACACCACGGGTGGCACTGTCATGCGTCACACCAGGGGTGGCATTGTCATGCGTCACGCCAGGGGTGGCACTGTCATGCGTCATGCCAGGGGTAGCACTGTCATGAGTCACGCCAGGGGTGGCACTGTCATGCATTACACCAGGGGTGGCACTGTCATGCGTCACACCAGGGGTGGCACTGTCATGCGTCACGCCATGGGTGGCACTGTCATGCGTCACGCCAGGGGTGGCACTGTCATGCGTCACACCACGGGTGGCACTGTCATGCGTCACGCCAGGGGTGGCACTGTCATGCGTCACGCCAGGGGTATCACTGTCATGCGTCACGATAGGGGTGGCACTGTCATGCGTCACGCCAGGGGTGGCACTGTCATGCGTCACGCCAGGGGTGGCACTGTCATGCGTCACACCAGGGGTGGCACTGTCATGCGTCACGCCAGGGGTGGCACTGTCATGCGTCACGCCAGGGGTGGCACTGTCATGCGTCACACCAGGGGTGGCACTGTCATGCGTCACACCAGGGGTGGCACTGTCATGCGTCACACCAGGGGTGGCACTGTCATGCGTCACACCAGGGGTGGCACTGTCATGCGTCACACCAGGGGTGGCACTGTCATGCGTCACACCAGGGGTGGCACTGTCATGCGTCACACCAGGGGTGGCACTGTCATGCGTTACACCAGGGGTGGCACTGTCATGCGTCACACCAGGGGTGGCACTGTCATGCGTCACACCAGGGGTGGCACTGTCATGCGTCACACCAGGGGTGGCACTGTCATCAGTCACACCATGGGTGACACTGTCATGTGTCAAACCAGGAGTGGCACTGTCATATTAGTCATAACCACATAATACTTCACATACACATAACGTCACCCCCCCCCCTTCCCCTCACCCCCCAGACAACAAAGGATAACTTCATCACACAACAAAAAAATCCGGTTTTTGTCACACACAAGAACAATTTTCCTTCATGCAGGCATCCGGTGGTGTGACACCTTGCCCTTCAGGGCCCGGGAGGCTCCTCTTACCAGTCCTGGTGACAATTGTGTGTATATATATATATATATATATATATATATATATATATATATATATATATATATATATATATATATATATATATATATATATATATATATAATATATACACATAATACTAGCAGTACCTGGCCACAGCAACCTACCCTGTCCCCCAGTACTCCTCACCATTCCCCCCCACACCCGGCTCCTTGGTCTCCCAACCGTTCCCCATTCCACCGTCCCCTCGTCCTCTCCACCATCTCTCACTTCCGTCCCAAATGGTCTGATGTTCCTATCAGAAAATTGGTAACATCAAGTGACCTGCTGTTCCCATCACTGAAATATAAGAAAAACAGTAAAAAGATGAAATGAAATTATGAAAAATAAAAAAATAAACTTTACTCACGAAATGAACGGTATGGTAAAGAACACAGCTCAATTCCAACGCAATTCACACAAAATAATTAAATCAAAATGAAAAAAATTCAATATCTATGAAAATAAAATTTATCAATGAAATCGGAAACATTGGAATGGAATTTGTGACATATTTGCTATAGCGTGCATGTTGGTCTTATTTGCAACAGATGGCTCTGTTTTTCAAAATCGCATGCTTTTTGCCTGTCACAAGGGTGGCATCTATATAGTAGGTGTATAAAAAGACGCGCCTATTCGAATGCAACGTTGTGTCAAGATTTCAAAGCAATCGGTGAAGAACTTTTGGAGATTACAGCGTGTGTTGCTTTTACGTCCAACAGATGGCACTGTTTTTTAAAAAAAGCATGTATTTACCTGTCACAGGTGAGGCATGTATTTAGTAGATATGTAAAAAGACGCGTCTATTTGCATGCAACGTTGTGTTAAAATTTCAAAGCAATCGGTAAAAAAGTTTCGAAGATTTCCCTTACATGAAAAACACAAAAACAAAAATATTCAGAAAAAAACATTTCTTTTACCGTCACAGACGTGACATCTATATAGTATGTATATAAAAACCTGCTTGGATGCGCATAGAACGTTGAGTGAAAATTTCAAAGCAATTGGTAAAGATCTTTCGGAGACTAGCTATTCTGAACAAACGAACATTTACATTTGTATTTATATAGACTAGCAGTACCCGCCACGCGTTGCTGTGGCTCAGTCTGGTTAAATGGGAAAGAAAGAAAAGAGAAAGCGCACGTTTCTAATATGTTTAATTTCACAATGCTTGTGGGTATACAATATTTTTGTTGTTCCATTGTCTGTGGAGTTATAGAGAATGTCTGATTTGCCGACTCTAGAACACGCAATATATAATTGTCCACGTGAGAAGCAATCCGTGTCTAGATATAAACTGCACAATTCTAAAGATTGGTCCTGAGCTTTGTTGATAGTGTTTGCAAACGCCAATCGAATTAGAAATTACTATCTCTTAAATTGAAATGGAGTATTTGTTAGAATGATAGGAATGCAAGGAATGAGAACATCTTCACCTTCGAAAGGTCCGGTCAAGATTGTTGCTTCTACGACGTCGCTGAATAATTTTTTTCCTCAACAATGTCGACGGACTTGTATGTGACTGCCTCGCTCTGAATGTTAGACTGAATAATATTGTTGAAGGTCGTAGACGTTTTGTTCTTGGCCGCAAGAATAGCTTGTTCACTCAGCCAATCGTTAGTCTTATAATTGGTTTGAATATTGAGAAATACTTTTTCAACCAATTCTTCTTTTGACGTCAGTAAATTGCAGCAGTTATGAGGCAATGAAATTCGTCCTGAGGTCAGATCAACCGGCCCGTTTACGTTCCCAATTTCAAGAAATTGATGTGAGAATATGTCAGCTGATGGATCGTTGTGCAGTAGCTACATAACTACACGCATATTTGTAGTTAATTTAAATGTCTTTACGTGGCGCCACAAAGTAGAGTATTTCAGGCAAGCATTTATTTCGTCTGCTGGAGTCGATCGAGGAATTATAGGTAATGTTTGGCTAAAATCTACTGCAAACAATATTAACTCTTTCCCAAATGGTCTGATGTTTCCCCGCAAATCTTGCGATGATCGATCATGAGCCTCGAACGATTTTTTGCCATGCATTGTGCATTCATACCAAACAATAAGTTTACCTTTCTGCAATACTTGTCCCAGGCCTGACGCTTTGGAAATGTTGCACGTGGGAGTTTCAATGAATTGCAAGGTCAATGGCGATTTCAAAGCCGAAGTAGCAGTTCATCCACCTGGTAACAATGTCGCAGCAATTCCGGACGATGCAAGAGCTAAGGTTATGCCATTTGGGATCGAAGATGGGAGTTGCTCCTGAGCTACCGTGCAGTGAGGACGTGTCGCCTGCTCGCTCCGGTAGTTTGAGGTGGTTAACGTTTTCCCCGGCAGGGGGTGTGGGTTTCTCTACCCTCCCTGCTGTTCCTGGTGGTGTGGACGTGGCGCTTCTACGATGGGCGGCCATCTTCCCCCTGTCGTGAGGGTAAACTCCATCGGCTTGGATTTTACTGGCCGTGCTGGATACCCGCTGGTGGACGTGGTATTGAGTGCCATGCTTCGTGTCCCGGTTGGGGACGTATATGGCATTGAGCTGGTAACTGCTCACCGTGTTGTTGTCAAGTTTGTGGGTGAGGCGGTGTACCGTGCTTTCTTACGGAGGTACGAGGACGTACTTTGCAGCTCCAGGACGGCACCGGGTCTGTGGCCATTTCAGACTGTAGTGGTGCTGTGACGTATGTCAGTGTTCATGGCGCCCCCATGGAGTTTCCTGAGACTCTCCTCCGGCGATTCTTCCAGAGGTACGGCTCCGTCGTCAGTGTGCGGATGAACTCACTGTCGTCTGGCACGTATTCGGGTGTGAAGACCAACATTCGGACCCTCGGGATGCGACTGAGGTCGGACATACCGTGCTCTGTCCGGCTGTTGGGGTACTATGTGCGTGTGTTTTATGCCCGGCAACCCCGTACTTGCTTCCGGTGTGGCTTGTTGGGGCATCAGGCTGCCGGGTGTACTGCTGATCCGGTCGCTCCTGTGAACTTGTTCCGTGAGGAGGATTTCCCGCCGCTCCCTCTGGAAGAGGACTTCGGGGGTGAGGAGATGAACGTCCCGTTCGCTGCTGCGGCTTCCCCAGAGTCACCCGACGTTCCCCCGGTTGTTGCGGACCCACCTCCGGGTGTTGCGGTGCCGTCGGATGTTCCTCCTGACCATGTCTCTGGCCCTGCCGTTTCCATGGACCTTCCTGGTGATCTCTGTGGAGCGTCGCCGTCGGCTTCCTCGTCTTCGACTGTGGACCCTGGCCCTGCGTCCTCCCCTCGGGTTCCTCCTGTGCTGGGTGCTGGGGTGGCTGCGGTGCCTCCTGCTGTGTGTGGTCCGGTTCCCCCTGTGGTAGAGGCTGCTGCCGTTCTGCGACGGGCGTCGGTTCGCCCGGTTCGTGAGGCCCGTGGTTCTGGGTCCGCCTCCGGCTGTGAGGATGTGCGGCCAGTGCCCAAGCGGTCCAGGCGTTCTTCTGCTGCTTGGGCTGATGCGGAGGACTACAACGCAGGTGGAGCTTCGGGAGATGATGTGGCGCCTCCGGGTGCTTCGCGCTCTTCGACGCTGGTGGTGGCTGACGTCCATGTGTCTGCTGTTGACGATGGTTGTACCTATGATTTACCTCCTGGTCTTTCTCCTGCAGAAGGTTCTCTGCAGTGGGGGGTGGTCGCTCCTACTGACGTGGATGATGAGAGTTCTGGTGCGCGCCGAGGCATCAAGCTGGTACTGAAGAAGGATGCCAAGCGTGGGGGGTCCCGGCAGGAACAACGTTCGGTGGTTGACGCGGAGCACTGTGGGGCAGCCGAGGAGGCTCCCAGTGCGCTGCCCATTGCCCGGCCTCGTGGGAAGGAGCCCCTCCCTCTCATCTTGGCCTCCGGAGTGGCGCATGATGCGCAGCATCCTCTGCAGTTTAACATTATTGACCGCGTGCATCCTGTTCCGTGGTGCCCTTCTTCCATCTGGGTACAGCGGGCTCGGTGTTTTGTTGTGGGTGTGCCCGAGTTGATGCCTGATCCTCGTACTGTTAATACTGTGCCTGTTCCGAATGACGTAATGTTACTGTGGGAGGCGTATTGTGTTCGGTTCCCGGCGGCGGAGTGGCCGGATAAGTATGAACAATTTGAGTAGTCTGTGTGCTTGCTGTGACCTGTGGTTTGTTTGCAATGTATTGTACCTATTGTGCGCCCTTCAGGCCGGTGTTGTGTTTTTCATGACTGTTGTTTTGTTTTTATTGTATTTCCGTCCAGTATTGTTGATTGTATTTCCGTCCAGTATTGTTGTTTCTTTGTGTTCATTGTTGTGATGTTGTTGTTGGTCCTTCAGGCCGGTATTTAGTGTATTTGTGTTACTTTGTGTATATTTGCTTTGTGCTTTTGTATTTTTTTGTTGTCTGATTGTTTGTTATTGGTTTCTTATTTTATTATATTTATTGTATTGTATTTCTTCGCATGTTCGCATGTAAAAATAAAAAAAAAAAATTTTGGGATCGAAATGCTGCCAGAATCAATCTAATTAGGAAGGTTTTACCAGTTCCTCCTGGCGCATCTAAGAAGATTTCTCCAAGCCCGTTATTGACAGTTTGAATTATTTGATTGTTAATGTCTTTTCGCTCAAGCGTTAGCTTAGGAATATTTAATTAAACATATGACAACAGATCTCCCGTGTTGTAATTTTGTTCACGTCGCAATTCTACATCGACCGAAGCAGCAGCAGATCGATTCGATGATGGCATTTCCATCTGATTGAGAACTTTGTTCCCGATTTCTCAGCACAAGTCTTCAATCATTATCAACGC